ATCTTCAGAGACTCATGGGATGTGTTTAAAGTCCATGGAATTTTACACTGGCTTCTGGCAACAGGTTTTGTTCTTGTGTGGAATATTTCTAGCAACCCTCCTGCACCTGGTGGTTTAGATTTTGGTTGGCAACAGTAATGGATTGTGTTTTTTCATTGGGATTGCTTTTTCCAGTTTCATAGAAACAGAAAAGAAAATGTAAGAATCTTCAATATTGTGAAAAACAGTATTTATCCTTTTAAGGACTCCTCCCATCCCTGAGTCTTACGACTCATAATGAACCTGTTATTAAAACTGGTTTAGCGCATAAAGGCAGAAGTATGCGTGAACTTGTCCAGAACCATTAATGCACTTAGGGAATTAATCCTCTTCAGACCTTTACAAACCTTGAACAAAAGAATATTTGTACCAAGGAATGCAACAGCCAGACTGCTTTAGGTCTGTGGATCCACTGCTAAGTAGGCAGTATTTATGGTTTTTTATTTTGCGTAATTCCAAACATATTAATATGTTTGTTTGCATCAGGCATACACATTTATGTGAAGGTTGTAATGCATGTTGGTTATACAAATTGAATAGTATGTCATCATGTATGAAAGGTTGATTTATATTTAGCAGAATACCTTGTTAAAAACTTTGGCGTGGGAAGTACAAGTTCCCCTTTCTGACTCCCCAAATCCTTCTCCATGTTAGTGTTAACCATTATTAATATACACTTAGCCATTTTGTTTTCAAATGTATATTTTAAGAAAACATGGGGAAAAGTGTTTCAGAATGGGCAGAACACTGAGTGAATTTATGAAGTCTGAATTCCGAAGTATGTGTGAGAAAGGATGCCTGTTCATCTGTTGGGGTGATTGTCTTGTCCCTGTTTTTGAGTGCCAGTTCTGGTATGTTAGGATTTAAATGGCATCTAGCTGTACACATGGGCTGTTCTGGAATAGATGGTAGAGTATGAAGAAGTCTGTCGACCCACATTGTAACCTGGCAATCCTTACTGGAGTCATCAGGTCAGTGGCTGAAATGGTGACTCTTTCCTGAAACTGCACTGTTGCCTAGGCTGGTCTCGACTCATGGGCTCAGTCTTCCAGTCTCAGCCTCCCCAAGTGCTGGGATCATAGTCATGAGCCACAGTGCCCAGTTTCCTTCTGTTTTTAAAAGATATGTTCTACAGAAATTTATAGGAGGAAAAACAACTTTTGAATGTCATGAAGTGGTGCCTGACAGTGGAAGGGATTAAGCAGGCTGTAGTGATAGAGCTGTCATCAGAACCCAGGGCAAAATTGTTTTGCTATGAGGCAGCTACTTAAATGACAGCAGATTCCCTTGTGCCTTTGCAGCCTGAAGTCTTGTCTGTGTCTGTATCATGAGGCCAAAAGTCACTGGGCAAGAAGTCTGGAGCGCTGCCCTAGACCTGAGACCTTTGTCTTAGTATTTCCCAGGCACAATAAACACTCTCTGCTGATCTTTTAAAATTGCAAAGACAGCTTCAAGTGGGGCGGAGGATACTGCATGCCTTTGACTCGTCCATCTTAAGTGATGCTGTCTCACAAGGCCCTCATCTGAGATGCCAGGTGAATCATTTTCTTCTGTGACCAGGAGGAAAAGTTCCCTTGTTTTTCTACTTGGCTTTTAAAATTTTTCTTACTGTTTCATACAATTTTTCTCACATTGAAGACACTAGATTTTTACCATTCTATATTGCAAATTTTTCTAGTATTTTGACTGTTTCTGTTTTTCAAATTAAAAAATAATAATAAAGTTTATAATTTAAGAAACATCCCCCTGAGTTCCCTCCCCAAGGGTTACCATTAGGAGTGTCTTGAGCTGTTTCTCAAGGTTTTTAACTCCATTTTTCCAAGTATAGTGCTCACTGCATCATTTCATTGAATAAGAATTCTGTAGAAGTTAACCTCTTCAGGAACAGAGGTGCAGTGTGTGTCCCTTGTTTCCTTTTTGCTCTCAGAGAACAAGTGCTTCCAGGATGAGTGTGTGTCCATAGAGTGGCCCAAATAGCTGTGTTTTGGGAAGGGCTGGAAGTGGGTTGCACACCGGGCTCTAGTTTGTGTCCTTGTGTTTGGTTCACATGTCCCTAGGGTGTGAGTTCTGGACGAGCTTGTTTTCCATGGGCCCTATGAAGCCTGCCTCCCACAGCCCCACCATTCAAGGGCTGTGTGTTGGGACTGCAGCCTCCCAGCAGCTCCACCCAGGGTGTTCGTGTCATGGCTCCAGCGCGACGCCATGTGGGTATTTTTAAAAGGCTTCATTTTGACACAGGTTCTGCCACAATTGGGACTGCACTGGGTGTGTCTTTAATTCCCCCGTGATCTTGCCTAGACATACTGACACCGTGACCCTGCCTGGACACTGCTGTCTCCCCCTTTCGCTCTTGCCCATCTTGTGACATGTTTGTGTTATGCCGGGCCCTCGTCCCCTGGTGCACTCATCATTCTGGTGCTGTCTTTTTCCTCTCACTTCCATCCTCTGATTATAGTCCTCTCAAGCCTAGTCCCTGCGCCCTCTGCCCCATGTCCTCGTGCTGGGCGGGGTATGGTGGGAAGAGAAGCCCATGATTTTTGGGCGGCCTCTGGGCATTCCCCATGTACCCTCCTACCCCTTCCAGATGGCACTAACTTCATAGGAAGGAGAAGTTGGTGTTCTGGAGAGGGTGGGTCTAGGAGGAGTCCGCAGGGAGGATGGTGGCCAGAATGCCTCCGGAGGGAGGGCAGGGCTTCCACCTCAGGTGCTCCTCTGGTAGGTATGGATAGGCACCCTTCACACCAGGGGTCTATTATGGGAACAGAGCTAGCTTTTCTTGGGTGTATCTGGGATATTGCCAGCTGTGTCTTCCTGGTAGAATTGAGAAGTCATTCAGCCACAGGGTTGTATGTTTTGTGGCTGCGATGAAGAATGTGGGTTGAAGAACACGTGGTCATTACTGTGGTTAAGATACCAGCTGGAGACACACCTGTCTGTAGATAACACACATTCATGGCACAGCATTGAGACCGTCCTGAAGGGTGTGCATCTGAGGGCTCCTTCACATCCATCTCCAGCCACCCAGTTCTTTCCATGTAACAGTCTCTTATTGGTCCTTCCTGAGACACTGCACACATGTGAAAGTCCCAGCTGCCTACAGAGTGTGCACTTGCACACACATATCCTGCCTACAGAGTGTGCTGTGTCCACTTTTAGTACAGTGGCTGCACGCGACAGACTGCAGCCGGCTTTGTTGATGTAGGTGTTGTATCCTGTGTCAGTTTCAGGCCGGCACCTATGGCTGTTCTAGCTGCACGTCCCACCCTATGTGGGTTCACCTTGTCCCACCCAGGTCTCTGCCAGCAGGCTTTGAGGTGTCTCACCTTTGCTGTCACAGAGTGCATTTCTTCATGTGGCGTCGCTGAACATAGGCGCAGCTTGCTCTAACCCCAACATTTTCCTCCTATCTGTAGATGGAAGTTGAGAGTTAACTGTCAGATGTGCAGGTATTATAGGAAAAGGCACAAAATGAACAAGGGTAAGTAGGTGACCAAGTAGACTAAATAACTGAGGTGTACTTTGGTTGATCCCAAATGGTTTTCCCATGTCCAGGAACTGCTAAGTGTGTTTGTTGGTGTTGGCGCACACAGCTAGGGGCCATGTGCTTGGAGTCAGCACTGCATTGTGCAGGGCGTCTTGCCCCCAGCCATGAGTCTGGATTCTAGGCCCCTCCCTGAGGAATGTGTGTGCCAGTTGAGGAGATGCCGTGCGGTGGTGCCCTGTGGAGGGAGTGGTAGCTGACTGTCCCTTCTCTGAGGGTCCTAAGGCATTGGTTGCTGGGTGCCCACCTTCCAGCTCAGCACACAGTGCAATGCACAGAGCCACCACCTGGAGGCCACACTTGCCTAGCCCCACCTGGCACAGGTGAGTCTGCAAGAGGTGAAGGCTTGTGCTCTGGCATTTCAGTGAGGAAACTACGTCCATGTGCTATACCAAGAGGAACATGGGATGCTGTTGAGCCAGCTATCGCTCGGCCCACCTGCAGCACTGTGCACATGTGACCCATGCACCTTCCACAGGATGTCGCTGCTCATCGCCTGCCCACTTTTGAGACACGTGTGACTCTGGAGTCCGTGTCAGTGTGCGTTGAGGTGTGTCTGAGTCATTGCATGCATGTGGCTCTAAAGCCTTTTGGTTTGTGCCGAGTGGTCTCTGGGTCACTGTGTGTGGCTCTGGAGTCCACATGGATGTGTGCTGAGAGGTCTCTGGGTCACCACATGTGGCTCTAAAATGAGTGTTTGTGCGTGCTGAGATGTTTCTGGGTCTCCAAGCCATCTTTCTCAGTTGTACAGTGGGTCAGGCAGGCTGAGGAGTCAGGTGGCAGCCTCTCCCATCTGAGCAGCCACTTGGCTTCACCCTGCTGCTCCAGGTACCTTGTGTAGAAAGGGTCTTTCACCTGGTGTCCTGTGTGCTATGTATCGTCACACAGGAGTAACTAAGGAGTTTTCCTGTAGCCTGATAGCTTTGGTCTCAAGAAAAGCCTCGGATTGGGATTCCCGATGTGACCTTGATGCTTGAACTGAGTCTGCATCTTGTTTTCTCCAGGATGACCAGTTTCTCACTGACTCTGGAGTGCTTAAACATTAGGTGATTGAGAATTCTGAACTGTAGAATGGCTAGAATAAAAATGTCTTTTTATGATAACTACAACTTACGCCTGTAGCATGAAGCCAGGCATGGCGGGATGGATGCTGTCTCTTGATCATCCCGTAGTCACAGCCATTTCCTCACTCTTCAGGACGATAGGAGGTGGGGAGCTATGTGCACCCTCTCCTCAGAGCCCTCCCTCACCACATTATCCCTAAAAAGCTGAGTGTCTAAACTGAATGCTAGCCCTGAGCTCTTTTTGTGCGAAGCGGTTTGGGAGTGAGGAGGGCCTGTGGTAGGGCTCTGGACCTCGGTCCAGGCAGCACCACCCACATTCCCCTCTCTCATCGCATGGGGTGCCATGCACATGTGCCATGGCTGCAGGGATGACAGTGCCTGTGGCTGGTCCCATGTACTGCATGCACCGTGGAGCTGAGCCCAATGCCGTCATGTGGTGTGATTTGGTACGTTCCTGATGAGAAGTTGGGATGCCTCGCTGGCAAAGACTTTTTCTTTTTCTTCTCTGATCTATGGATTTAAATACTTTAAAAAAGCATATGCATTTTAAATAAAAGCAATTACTTTTATTACAATACTGAAGTTACTGAAGGGGTCTGGACTGCACTGGTGCACGAGGTATGTGGCATGCCCTGAGCTGACTAGAGCATACTGTTCAGATTCTTATTGATCGGCCTCTCACTAGTTCTTTTTTCCTCAAAGATAATTTGGTATAATATTTCCTTGTCCATTTTATGGAACCGTGAGTCTCAGGGATCACTGTTTCATCTTGCTCTGATCATTGGGACCCAGAATTGTCCAGAGCAGCCCCGGGGCTTTCTCACGGGGCAGGGACACCATAAACAGACCCTCCCATGGTAAAAGGAGAGATTTACATCTGCTTTAGATGGGTGATTAGGCAGATAGAGCTAGAGTTTTATATTTGAGGAAAAAGAGAAAATGTAAATGACATTATATCTTGGTGTGTAATTTTGGGTCATTTTCTTCAAAATTTTAAGATTTCAAACCTTAGGTTATGTCTGAAAGATGGCATTTCAGAGGGTTACTGATGGTCAGATGTCTGTTTTCTGACCCAAAGAGGTGAAGTTTGGCAGGTTTGGTTGTTCTAAACAAAACTGTCCAGGGTGTCGGGCCTGTGCTCAAAGATGGGACCTTGGGCATGGACTGGTGGGGCTCATAGATGGGACCGAGCCCCCATGCATAAGATACCACCACCACAGGCTCAGAATCTGCATGCCTTGTGGAAGACACGCCACTCAACCTCCACTGGACATACTGGGGTGCATTATGGGCAGTAGTCATTTCCTTTTCAGTATTTCATAGATTTTCTTCACATAGCATGAAGATATTTTTCAACTGGACTATAGCTAAATGAAGAAAATGTATAGAAACTTACTTTCTCATTTCTGTAGCTCACTTCATGGTTAGTGCTCAGTTTTGCAACACATTTCTCTGTCTTCATGTTCTGGGCTGTCTGTTTCTCCCTAGGTTTTGTCGTTGCTTACTTGGGTTTCACACCATCCCAAGAGTGGGCAGGACAGGGGCTCTGCCCTCAGAAAAGGGGGCACTTTCTTCATGTCTCACACTCACAGGATCGCTGTGTTGACACAGCCTTGCTCTGTTCACCTCAGGACAATGTCTGTGTCCTCCCTGGGCCCTCTGGAGCTCTCCATGAGAGTGGCCTTACTGGCTGTAGGAGAGAGTGCACAGGTGGGATGTTCCCTCTTATCCCTCTCAGGGAGATGCTGAGAGAGAGATGGGAGCCTTTTGGTGTGAACTCAGGTGTCTGGTTTGGTAGATTCCTTAGGATTTGTTAGGTCCAGCTGTAATTACCACAGGTCCCAGTGGGACATTGCCCAGTTTGGGTTGGGGTCTCCAGAGATGCTCCTAAAATCCTGCTGTGCCACTGGCTGCACCCAGTTCTTGTTGTGCACTAGTCTCCCATGCGCCTGCCTGTGCCTCCCACACGTCTGCCTGCCAGTCAGTCACAGGCTCCAGCCTCTTCTAATTGCTTTGTGGGCAGAAGAGATTTCCTCATTTGCTCTCTTCCAGTTTCTTTCTTGGAGGCACATGTGAGAGCAGGGCCTGGGCCAAGGCCTGTGGTGGGGTGGGGCCTCGGCTCCTAGGTGCTGTAGGGACTCCACTGTGGTCGATGGAAGTTGCACCAGAAGTGTAGGTTCACACTGCAAGCACAGTGGCATCCAAGGGGTGGAGTCGCCTACAAGTTCTGAGCCATTGGCTGGAATGGGTCGAGTTGGGCAGGAAGAAGGCTGCCTTCCCTGGTGATGGTCGCCATGGTGATGGTTGCTGTGGTGATGTCGTCCTGTGGGCAGAATTGTCCAGTGGGCAGCTGGACGCTTGGCTGTGAGGCTCGTTAGTCTCAGGTTCTAGTGGGGTCTGATGCTTCACCGAGGCGGTGGTAAATTGAGGAGGAAGAGTGCTGTCCCTCTGCATGTCCTGCCCTGCCCAGAGCACAGGTCATTTCTGTATCTCAGTTATTGGGAAGATGGTGAAGGGAGGGGTTGTGAGCCACCAGGTGGCCCTGGGAAGGAAGCAGAGGTCATGCGTGTTCTTAGGAGAGGGCAGTGTGGCTTGCATTGAGGTTTTGGAAGTCCTATTTTAAGAAGCTTCTGTTAGTGTTTTTTTTTTTTTGAGTTGGAGTTTCACTGGAGTGCAGACTGGAGTGCAGTGGCCGCTCCCGGCCATCGCAGGCTTGACCTGCTGGGCTCCAGTGATCCTTCCGCCTCAGCCTTCAAAGTAGCCGGAACTACAGGCATGCGCTGCCACGCCCAGCTAATTTTTTTTTGATTTATTGTAGAGATGAGGGCTTGCCAAGTTGCCCAGGTGAGTCTTGAACCCATGGGCTCAGGCAGTCCACTCACCTCAGCCTCCCAAGGCGCAGGATTACAGGCTGAGCCCCTGAGCCCGGCTCTGCTAGTGTTTTTATTTGCCAGTGTATCATGTTAAGTCAGAGTATTGCCTCTGGGTCTGTGGCCTATCCTTAACCCTCTGCCCACAGGAGGGTGGCTGTGGCAGTACTTTTTGAGTTTGAGCAAGTTTTTGTCTGCTGTGTTTGATGATGTTTGTTGAGTGAATGGATCAATGCACCCAGATTTCACCAGGGTAGGGGGTCAGGATGTGGGCCACTTGCCATCCCTAGCTGAGATGTCCCTTACTCCTTTATATTCAGAGATGGCCCTGACCTGCAACTTACTCAGTTGCAGGTTCATGGGAAGCATGAGGAGTCTGAGTCATAGTTGTCCTATTAAACTCAGGCATTTAGAGCCTATATGTGGCTTGCAGTCTCAGAATTGGCTGCTCTCTAGAAATGCTTCTCAGGGCCAGGAACTGATCCTTTGCTGTGCAGGAGAGAGCTCTAGGGCCGGAAAAGTAAATTCCAGAAAAAAACGTGGGCCACAGATCAGGGAACCCCTTCCTCCTGGCTACTTAAATCTAATGAAATGTATACATTTAATGATCTTTGATAAATTCTTACACCTTGAAAGAACTCATGTTGGCTGGGCTTGGTGGCTCAGCCTGTAATCCCATGTCTTTGGGAGGCCGAGGTGAGTGGATTGCCTGAGCCCGCAGGTTCGAGACCTGCCTGGGCAACTTGATGAGACCTCATCTCTACAATAAATCAAAAATCAGCCGGGTGTGGTAGCGCATGCCTGTAATTCCAGTTACTTGGAAGGCTGAGGCGGAAGGATCACCGGAGTCCAGCAGGTCGCGGCTGCGGTGGCCGGGAGTGGCCACTGCACTCCAGTCTGGGTGACAAAGTGGGACTCCAACTCAAAAAAAAAAAAAAAAAAGGACTCATGTCACACAGAATGAGCCTGTGTGGTAGGTTTTTATATAGTGTGTGGTATAAAGTGATATCACATGCCTTTTTTTTTTTTTTGGCATGATGATTTATTTTGAGGGGTACCTCAGTTTTACCCTGGCCCCAGTACCTGATTTATAAACACTCAGGTCTCTCCAGGCAGAGCTGTTGGAAGACTAGTCTTTAGTCTTAGGATGCAGACTTCTGCCTGGAGTGGGATTCCTTGAGTCTGCCCTGTGGAAAGTAAAAAGTGAGACTCTGGAGTTCTCTAGTTAGCTTTCGAGGACCTCTTTGCATCTGGTCCCTTCTGGATGCTGGGTTCATTTTTACCTCAGTCACTGGGTGCCTCTCGATGGGATAGCGGAATTGAATTTGTTCTTGGTTGTCCCATACCGGTGCTATCTTGTAGCCTCAGTTCAGTTTTCAGGATTGCTTTACTTTTGTATTCTATTTTTAACAATTCAAAATATTTTGAAGCTAGGTCTGTCCAATGAGACCCTTCTCCCCTAGCAATGTGATGATGGACACTGGGGCATGTCAATCAGCAGATGTGAAGGGCCCTTGACACAGGCCGGATTTTCAAAATATGTTAGTCTCTTTTCCATTTCTTTCTTTTGGATTTTAAATGACTTTTTCATTGCTGAAATACAGATATCTTATAATTAATTGCATATAAGATGCCTGTATTTCAGAAATGAAAAAAATCATATGAAATCATTTGAAATCAATAAAATACATTATTCTCAAAAGCCTATGCTTGTAGAGTTGGGGCAAGGGTTCCCATCCCCATGAAGATGCTACAGGCCACAGGCCATGGCTATGTGGCTCCAGGCGACATCTGATAAGAACAACCTTCTCTAGGGTGGCCTCCTGAGCCTAAGGAGATCTGAGTTTTTCTTGTATGGGAAGTGTCATCTGGTTATAAGCACCATCATCACAACCTCTTTTAGGTAAAATGTGATTATTGACTAGTTGGTTACCGAGTTACTCAGCAGCCCTGATAAGCTGTAATATCAAAAGCTCTGAGATCATAGTGGCTGACAGGAGAGTACTTGCTGTCTGTGCAGATATAGAAAGGTAAGTAAGCTCTGCCAACTTGCCTTCCTAAATTTCAGCTCCATGGTTCTTGGAATAGAAAACTGAGCTCTGTCGGTTCGTGACATCAGATTTGACGCTTTTCTTACATTTTTATCAGGTTCAGGGAACAAGTTTCCGAGGCTGGAAAGAAGTGACTTCTCTGTTTAATAAAGATGACGAGCAGCATCTCCTGGAAAGGTGTAAATCTCCCAGGTCCAAGGGGTAAGTCACCAGTGTGTGAAGCAGTAATCATGTCAGTGGAGGCAGGAAGCCGCTGAGAAAGGTGGAGATAAAGGCTCAGGGTGTACATTCAGTTTAGCTGAAGACCGCTGTGGTGCCTGGTGAATCCCTTTCCTTCCCTCTCTCTGTCCGTCCATCCCTCCCTCACTCTGACCATCTGTCTGTTCCTGCTGAGTGGCAGGTGGTCATGGGCTTTGGGATGTGCTCCTAGAGAGTAATTAGAAATAGAAATATGCGATATTTTTTATGATCTGGAGACAAAAGAAAGAGAATAAACTTTACTTTGGGCAAAAGGTCATGAGGGCCACTATAAATAAGCATTTTGAGATGTTATGGAAAAGTGAAAAAAAACTTGGTATATAAATCGAACTTATTAACCTTAAAGCAGCCATAGCCATCCTTAAGATTTTTAGATGTTTCAGAAAATAAAAACGGTTAAAAGTGCAAAGGCTTTATTGTTAAACTTTAAAAGGTAATAGAAAATTGAGTAAATTTAAACTGCTATTGCTGCTCTTTTATTACAAACATTTCAGAAGATTAAAAAGTGTACTTAAGTTGAAAATATAAATTCAGTGGCTACCTGATGGGATTACCAACGGCATATTTACTTAGGACTGTGAAGAGCTGTTTGACTAGAAAGGTGAACCTTGGTGAGCCTGCAAGAACTTGGTCTCGTTTGAGGACCGTGGCCTTGGTCTGCTTGTGTACTCTGTGCAGAGGGTAACACAGGCGCCCTCCCTGCTCTGGCCGAGCCAGGACAGCCCCTGCACTCTTCATCTGCAGAGGACAGAGTAAACTGTTCCTCCTGGCTGTCAGGTGGACTGTTAATACAGCAGCGTCTTGGGAAGGCCTGGGTGCTGGTGTTCGGAAAACACACCTGGGCCATGCTCGCGGCAGTCACGTGGAGAGGCCCTGCCTGCACCAGCCTCAGCCTTTGTTCACCAGGATCTTTCTTGGGTAGATATTGCCACCTTTTCCTTTTTACGGTAGATGGCGTTCTGAATTCTTATTTTTCTTGGGTGAATTAACTACTAAATGCTTGAGACTAGCTTGCTGTGTGAATAACCCTATTTTGATAAGTGAAATAGTTTTCCCTTCCTATTCCTTAATCTGGATCCAGGATGTTCTAGATCTGATTTGCTTAAATGCTTGAGTGCTACTTTCATATTGCCTTGGAAAGTTCTCTTTTGTTGTAACACTCCTGCTTTTCTTGTCTGAGAACTAGTTCTTTGCTTACACATTGACAAGTGCTGTGCTGAAATATGGCATTTACACACTTCATTAACAATGTGAAGTGACTAATTTTTCCTTATTAATTTTAATATTTAAAACTTTACCTAAAGATTTGTGTTAACTTTCTCAACAACTTAAACTTTTTAAAAAAAGAACTTTGTAAGATTGACACAGCTTGAGGCCCTAAGACCACTGGGTCACCAACACCTAACTCTTTCATCTCCTTCAGAACTACTTTACGATTAAAAGAAGAGTCGAAGACAGAGAAGAAGTCTGGATTTTGGGACAATTTGGTTTTAAAACAGAATATGCAGTCTAAGAAACCAGATGAAATTGAAGGCTGGGAACCCCCAAAGCTTGCTCTTGAAGACGTATCGCCTGGTTCTGAGGATGCTGTGGATGGCCACCCAACCTGGCCGGGCTGGGAGGGTGAGGCCAAGGGCTCAACCAAGTACATCAGCCTGACCAGCTCAGCAGGCAGCTCCAGGTGGAGCCTCCGCTCGGCGGGGAAGCTAGTCAGCCTGCGGAGGCAAAGCAAAGGCCACCTGACGGACAGCCCGGAGGAGGCAGAGTGAGGAGAAGCCATGGGCCTCTCATGGAGCTTCAGGAGTGTACTGAGTCACGGTGGCTTTTTATTAGTATAGCCTCAAGTTGTTGAGTCCTTCCCATATTAAAGAGGAGAGAATCTACTTTTTGCCTGTTTTTCCTATTTGGACCTCTATTTTCATTGTCAAATGAGGAGCTCACACACACACTGTGATTCCTTGGTGGACACGTGCAGGGATTGTATGTTTGGTTGCCTTATTGTAGAAATGTCCACACACTAGAGCCCATGTTTTGCAGAACCCGGAGATGTGAATGTTTGATGCTGTCCCTTAAGATAGCAGTAATGACTTGTGGTTTGCCACAAAACTATTTTCACACCATCTTCCGTTGTAGTTCTCTGCTTCAGAACTTCTGTACCTTTTTCTTGCATGTAATGCGTGTACCATCCGTGTCACACGAGAATGTAGCAGTTGTGCAGTTCTCTTCTTTTGCTAGAAAATTACAGTCCAGGAGGTAAGATGACTATTCCAAAGGTTATGTTAAATTTTGTTTAACTTGGCAAATCAAAAGTTTTTCTTATTAAATGAAATATGTAAACAAATTAAATACTGGAAAGGCAAAGGTTGTATTTGAGCATAAAATGTCAGTGTCTTACAATGCATGGTGACCTCTTGCTGAGGGAGGTATAGTCTCTTGTGTGCTCATTGGATGGTAACAGTGGTTCTTTTTTTGTGATTTTATTTTTGCTTCTCCTGAACTTTTAAATCTTTATTTTCTCTGAAAAACATTATCTTTTTCTTATTTACAGATTAAAGAAATGTGGATAAATTTCAGTTACTTGATAATCTTAATTTTGTTTGGAAAACATCATCTTGTTCATTATAGAGTTAAAATTGTACATAAAATAATGAAGTGCCTCTTTTCTATTATACCCATGTGTTTGGTTTTTCAAACTGAGATACTTATTGTGACTGATGTTAGATCTGTAAGAAGTTATATTTCCCCACAAGAATGACTTGCAGCTAATTTGAGAACACCTCTCTCTTTTTCCGTCTCTCTGCTTACTGTCCTGACAACATGATCCTACACAGTACCAGGTGCACCCATCACATGTCCCTGGCAGGAAGGTTTATTGGCAGGTGGTACAGATAGCTATCTTAGGTAAAAGTGGTTTGAAAGAAAAGGTGTATTTTTCTTTGTTTAGGTTAAACACAAAACAAAAACCACCAGTTAAACCTCCTGTAAAAAACAAACAAAACAAAGACCCTGTCCCTGGGCTGTGGGTGTGCACTTGTGTGCTGTTTCATGCATCTAACGTTCCTATGGAATGACTGCATGTGCATTACGACAGAGCTTACGTAGTCAGTGTGTCAGAGTGCCTGTTTTAATGGAATAAGTGTACTTGATCTGTCTGTCTAAATCTACCATCAATATCTGTATCTATCAATTGCTTATACCTATCAATTATTTATATTCATCTATCATGTGTCTGCATTCATTCATCTATACATCCGCCCATCTGTCACCAATCATCTATCTTTTTTTTTTTCATAGAACAATAAGTTTACTCTTCAAGCCTTGAAAGGAGGACATGCTTTAAATGGTGTTCAAATAAAAATTCCAGTTTGCATTAGAACCTTGAAATTGTGGGGGTTTTCTTCCATAGTGCAGAGTAAAGTTTATGATGTTTGGTATAACAGCTAAGTAAACAAATCCTACATTTCCTCAGGTAAACAGCTGTAGCTGTCTTCCTTGAGAAGTGCTTTGCTGGCTGGTACACACATGCCCTTGCCAGGATTTATGCAAATACTCTGCAGCAGGGGTCAGATGACACTTGTCTTGAGTTAAGGCTATCTTGCCCAGTGCAGGAATGTAAACATTGTATTTGAGACTTAAGTTACATTTATGTGCTGGGAGATGGGACTATCGGCCTGTGCTTTGGGGGTCCTGCTGCCTCTGTCATGCATATATGCTGGATTGCTAAGTGCCTGCAGCTCACCTCATTTATGTAAATGTGACATAGCATAGCGGGCAGAGTCGTTCTTTGTGGTATCATTTCTCAAAATTTGAAACAAAGCCTGCCTGGGATTGGAACATGACTGTAAATTGGATTTTTATCTACAAAGACTAGTGTGAAAATGATTTTTCTTCTGTTGTAGCTGATTAAATTAAAATAACTATGTTTGTGGTTAATATAAATATTTATTGGTGTGCTTTGGGAGAAAAATATCTGTTTTTGAAAGAACTTACCAAAGCAAATTTGTTATTTTCACAAGTTAATGGAGAATGTGGATTTGATTTTTGATCTTTGTAAAAACACAGCTTTCCTGTGTGAAGGGAGGTGTCCGTGCTCCTACTGTATTTTATTATTTTTTTAAGGAAAGGAATGGGCTTTGGAGAAAGTTGGGTTCCTTCTTGATGTTGAGGTTTTAAAAACAATAAACATATTGGTTATAACTCTTTCTTGATTGGTTTGCATGATTATTGGTATCTGCCTATGATAGTTTTAGTCACTCAGAGCTAAGGGCACCTTTCCTGACCTTTCAAATATCATTTTGAAATTCAACGGACACACGTAGACTTTTTCATAACTGAACAATTTTAACCTCAGTTTTCAAGATGTGTCTTTTGCATATTTGAACTGCCTTCCTGTGCTGAGTCCACCCAAGGGTCACAGTGCGTCCCTGGTCTGTTTGTGGTTTTACTTTCCTTATTTCATGAGTTGGGTCCTTATGCAAGTTTTTACCCCTTGCTATCCAGTTGAAAAATATGAACATACTAGTGATAATATGTTTTAACCTGCTGTTACTTATTTTTTTAAAAAGATGATCATCTCTTAGAACAATGTCCTTTTGGAAGACAGAGGCCTACTCTAGAGAGTGATGTTAACTTTCCTCAAGAACTAGGCACTGGGCCTGCAGTGCCTTCCCGCCTGTCACTGGGGTACAGGTGCTTTGGAAGGAGGCTGGGAGCAGTGCCAGGTCCCTCTTCTCAGGCCTAGGCCCCAGGCAGTTGGATTTCTGCCCTGGCCCTTCCTCACCATGGGCCTCACTGGGGAGTGTGGACTCAGTGGCTCTTATGCCATCCCCACTGGCCTGGAGACCTTACACCTCCATCCTATTTCCTGGCTCTGGTCCTCCAAGCTGCTGCTCTGGCCCCCTCCCCCTTCTGTCCTATGATAGCCTCACCATGACATGCTGGTGACTCTGCTGCCTTGGGCTCCAAACCGAGCCTTTGGTTCTCACTCATAGATCTGTTCCACAATTCCCAGTCGCTTCTGGCTGTCATAATAGGTGAGGTAACAGTTTCTGTCCTCTCTCCCCCACCCCACCCCCAGTTTACTTTGAGCTATTTATCCACTTTTTGGTTTTTATGGTCATTCCTCAATTGATATTTGACTGAACACCAAAAAACCAGCCAGCAGGGCACTCTTTAATAGACTTTGAAGACATACATTGGCTAAGGCAATTTTTCAGCTCTGTAATAGCTATTTTAAAAATGTGCAAAATTGTCCAGTGTTTAAACAGTGAGAACTTGCTCTGGCTATTTTTTTTTTTTCTTTTTGGCAGAGAAATAGTTTTAGCTTAATTCACATGAGGTAGTAACGGCTTAAATCATGAGCTGCTGAGGAAATGGCAGCCCTTCCTTTTCTAGTGTGATTTGCTGCCTCATGTAAAAGTGTTTCTGACTGGGGTTGTCATTTGCGACACCAACTCTTGGACCCAGGGTCAGCCAGTCAACACCTAGGCAGCTTTAAACTGCAGTGAGACACGATTCTCCTCATTGCCCACTGTTGTGTAATTCCAAGAGGGTTGTTCATAATTGCGACTATGAGACATGACAATGATAATGTAATGATTAGACTATATGTAATTTATAGATGTATGATATGAAATGATCAAATTGTGCTCAATTTAGTTTTAGATTTAAGCAACGTATCATATTCTAGTTTTTCACACCACACAGAGCTGCTGCTGGCTTTTTATCACATGACCATCCAGTGGCCACCCAGCCCTGGTCCTACCATTTGGGACCTTCTGCATTGTCATTTGGGCTTTGCTTGCAGCCTCTGAGGGTGACAGGGACAAGCTGCCACCTCCTCTCACTGGCTTTGGGACCCAATGGCTGTTATAGGATGCTGCAAGTCGAGCCTGTCAACTGCATTATTTTAAGAAAGAGCACAACTCTGCCACCTAAGTGTCTTGAAAAATCATATTGTGAAGGAAGAATCATGTTGAAATAACTTAAAATTTTAGCTATTAGCAGCAAAGTTGTTGTCAGTTGTTCAAAAGTATAGCATTTCTACTGAAAGACTTCTCAGTATTTTAAACATATGTGAGCTTTGTTATTTAGTCAGTAGCAGAGAGAGCACCGTGGTGGTGCTCAGAGACCACTCCCATGGCCCCTTTAAGGAGGCCCAGCTCTGATGCCACCCTGGGGTGGGGGTGGGGGGAGGTCCAAGCTTTGTTTTCTGTTTTTAAAGTGGGACATTATCCGAGGGCTTTGAGGAGAAAATAGTGGGACTGTTAGTAAAGCTGTAAAATACTGAATACTAGCTAGTTTTCCTTGTCTTAATAGTCTTGAATGGTTACAGCCATTAAGTTCTCATGGGGCCAAGAGACTGAGCTGTATACAGTTGGTGCTTATCAGCCTTTTCCTGGGAATGAAGGGCTCACTGGTGTAGTTTTGTTTTAAGGTGACATAGAAGTTGCCACTGCTATGGAGACAGACTCCAGGTGTTCATGGTGATGCAGACAGTGACTTTCTTAGTGAGGTATGGGCAGGAAATGCTGGGCCTGGGAATGAGGTGGCGGGTGGGCAGGTGAACTCTGCCCATGGGGCTTGTGTAGATGGGTCCCTGCTCAGGGCTGTGCTAACACTTCCTAGGGTGTCATCTTGAAGTCCACTGAGAAAGTGGCTCGGCCTGAGGAGGGTCTCGTCTCTGAGTGGTGGAATTTGGCTAAGGAGACTGGCATCACAAGTTTCTCCAGCAGCTTCTATAACTTTGGAAGCTTCCAGGTTAGGTGGCTGATGTCTGTTCCCTCATCTACAACCCTGTCTCTCCTATCTTAAGGTCAGTTTAACATCTTCTCCTGTGACCCAGGGTTTCACCATAATGTACTTGCCTCCTCCTCGTGGCTCTGTTCTGTGTTCTCTGTTTAGTTTCTATCTCTTTGCTTAGACAGGCAACTCCAAGTGAGCAGGGACCTGCATCCCGGGAACACACTGTCAAAAGACCTTTGTGTGATGAGTGCTCTAGGGATGAGTGCTCTAGGGAACACTTACTGGAATTGCTAGTGCAGAGTCAAACAGCTAGATGGGCAGCTGACAGTTTGAAAACTGGTGTCTGTAGAGTTTGAGCAGCCGCCAGTCACATGTCCCCTCCACCCATTCTAGGGCTGCAGAGCTTGGACTCACCACCATGTGGCCTTCTGCAGTTCACCTGGCAGACCTGGCTCTTCAGGTCTATTGGGTAGAGTATGGCCTGTCTCCTAGGATTGCTGTAAAAGTAACTTGATAGCCCAGGAACCTGCTATGTTTTGATGCTGCAGGCACGTGACATCAGCTGGTTGTCTTGTTCTTACTGGGAATTTTTAATGTGCAGTAAGCCTCCCTCTAGTAGCAACATGATGAGACTAGTTAACCTACACTAGCCCCACCACCAGCCAGTTCCCTACTCAGAGCTGTTTGTCTTCATTCAGTCATTTTCATGGTCTAATTTGACCACCGTCCTAATGGAACCTAATCTACCAATGACAGCCCTAAATCCTCTCTACACATTAGTCACAACATGAGGAAAAGTGACATGCCACATCAACATGACGCCATCAAT